TTTTTATTATTTTCCCCGAAGTTAAAGGCCTGCGAAAAAAACTTCGTGCGCACGCCCTATTTATACATATTAGTTATTCCCTTTAAAATGTGGGTACCGATTGTACGCAACCCTAGCAACTTATTAACATAATGCACGTTTAATTTTGAACGAAATGCTGAATGCAAACTTCCGACAACGCTATTATGACCGTACGTCGCTGATCTTGGCTTGCTCTACAGAGTGTTTTCATGGCGACCATGTTCAGGAACAAATCTGGATCGAAATTAATACATATTTCTTTTTTTTAAAAAGCGAGTTTGCTCCTTAACAAACCAAACATAAAAACACTCTAACCCTGGCGGTCTTTTCATTAAAAGTAATGCCGTATTTACACTTACTGTCGTTCCAATTGAAGTGTTCCTCAAATATTGATTCAATACATTACCTCAGGCTGACCAATTCATTTCATCAAGTTCCTCGAGATATTAATACACTTCCTGTGAAAGAGCCAATTCCAAGAATTTGATAATTTCTGGTCACTTCCTTTCTATTTATGATTGGTAGTTGCACAAACAACAAAGGTGATTGGTGCATTCAAACTATTCAACAGGAAGTTTACAATTAAGGAGGCTCCCTACAGTTGCGTGCGGGATCTTCGCGGGACCAGTACGTGAACTATCCCACGCAACCGCATGATCAAAACAAAACAACATTTTCTTTTTAAAAAAAAAGCTATTTCTGAAAGGTTTCTAATGGGAAAAAGCGTTGAATAATACTTCGTTTTGATTGCCAAATTACTTGCGAGTCTATACAGCAATTCTACATATGATACGAATACCACTAGACCAAAAAATAGCTACGAAACAATGTGTTTTAATGTTTTTAAAATATACATTGTCAACTGTAAAACATTTGCAAAATTGCATACAAACGTTTAAAAAGTTGTTTATTTCTTAAGAAAACGTTCACGTTTTTAGTCGTGTTTCTACAAGATTAATGTGATTATATGTAAACAGAAAAATATTTCAGTTTCATAGCCTAATTGTTCATTTTTAGCAAAAAGTACAAAACCAAACATGAAACAAAAAAAACACGTCCACCTGTTAATAGGCTGTTACAGCTCATAGATTGAGTAAACGGCAGGATTCAATTAGCTTCAACCTTGTTTTCATCGACTTAATCCTTCACAATAATCCTTGGCTGTCCATAGCACTCAAATAAATCGAAAAGTTGACAAAAACAAAACAGTAAAAAAACATTGCGGCTCGATTTTGCTGAATGAAATAGTTGATGGGCGATACCGAGTTAGTACTCAGTATTCGATACCAGCGATACCACAAACAGCGGTATCGGTAGCGATTACTGACGTGGTATCGTTCGATACTTGCACCCTTTTTTAGACGACTTGTTTAATTTTACTTCTTGGTTGAATAAGACTTAATGAACCACTAAAAAAGTATCGGTATCGGTATCGAATTAAAAATCCTGGTATCGCCCATCACTAGAATGAAAACTCGTTCTGCGCCCGCGTACAATCTTTTACTAGTCAGCGACGCTTTTCAATAGGGGAATTTCTCGAGTTACACGAGGCTATTTTCTAACTTTATTTGCATTTTACTCATTAGTTTCATCGGTGACCTATCTTCAAATTTTGACCACGAATTTATTTTGCGGTAAATTTTATCAATTTCAAATTTTAAAAAAATCTGTAGTGTGGAAATTTCGCAATAAATATTTCGCTTTTAAAAAAATCACACACTACAGAATTTTTTTAAACTTTCACCACAGTTGCAGAGCATCATTCCTTATTGATATATGAAATAAAAAAGATAGGTCACCGACATCGTTTTTGAGATAGCGGCAAATTTATGGGTTAAATTGGAAGGCTTTGTGCTGTAGTCATGTTGCCATGGGAACATTGACATCGTCGAAATCAAGTTCGAAATATTCCTTAGGTGACCAATATTCCAATATTATATACTTGGTGACCAAGTCGAAAAGAATTCGCGTTCTGCACGAATAAGCCTGTTTTACGGAATTATTGCTTAAACAAGAATAACTGTAGGGAGCCACCTTAATTAATCGGAATAATCGCAATGCATCACGGTATAGGGACCACCCTGCGCTTCCTCATACAGATTACAGACAGTTGCAGAATTCAAGAATACTTGTACAAACAAAAGGAATTTTTGAAACATTTCTCAAGCAAGAATCTGGATGTTTGTGATGTACAGCAACGTACAGTATATCATACTGATTAGTATGATACTGCTTCAATACAAAATTTGTTGGTGAGTATGCCGTTAAACTTATGTTGTGTTTGAAATAAGCGTGCAATTTATTGTCATTAATTATTTAATTAAAGACCATATCAAGTCCGTAATGTAAACAAATCCTTTGTTTACATTTTGAACTGCTGTATTTGTAAAATAAGCCATGCAAACTGAATATCTAACACTTTTCTGGTTCGCTATTGTAAATGAATATAAATTAGAGTAATCGACGGAATCGACATGGTCTTTAAAAAATTCACTAAATATTATAAAACTTTGTTTTGAGAAGCTGAAATTGGATTCTGCTCAAGAACACATTTTTAAAATGTGTTCTCAGAATGCAGGAAATGGCATCAGTGCCATAGCTAGCTTGAGGGGGGGGCAGATATTCATATATTCGTGTTCTGCGTTATTAATTTCTTTTGAAATCGATTGTTTTTATGGTCTGTGAACACGAATATATGAATATCTGCCCCCTCCCAATTATCGAGCCTGCTACCGGCACTGAATGCCATTTAAGAAACCCCAATTAAAAAAATTCCTGGGGTGGGCTGGGCTGACCCTCGTCTGGAGCCACTCCCGCTAACTCGTACCTGCAGCACTCGGCTCACACCCTCGGTGCTCGCATACTATTCTACTGGGGGGGGGGGGGGAGGGAAAAATAAGACCTTTGCACCACCACTGAAGAATTCTTAAAAAATGCAATGACATAAATGTATACAAGCCTTGAATTATGTCTTCAAGTTCCCACTCACAGGCGGCTCTGTGCCACCTGAGTGGGCTATTGGTCAAAGGCGGCAAGTACACCTTACACAAAAACTGTGAAACAGCAGTACTAATAACAACTTTCAAGACAAACTGTCTCTTATTTTAGTCTTTCAAGGAGTTGCCATTTGTAGTTTAATTAATTGTTTTTGTTCTTTGTAAGGTGTTATATACCCCATAGACGGATATTCATATTTATTACTGGGGTGATGCTAGAAATTTTAGGGGGGTGAGCCACGAGCAGGTGACTGAAGCAACACAAAGTGTCACCAAACCCCAGTAAGGTGTGGAGCACTAGAGCCGCGAGGGGGAGTCTAGAGAGCAGAAAACAAAGTATCCATGGAAAAATTTGAAAAAAATCATGATTTCTAGCCTCGAAAAAACGTTTTTTGAAGTTGTCATATCAATGGATTTTGGCCTGTCCGATTGTCTGTTGAGACTTGAGAGAGTGAAAAGTTAAATGAACCTGTAAAAGTGTAAACCCAATAGGCCAATACACAATGTGCTTTTACTTTTATAAAGTCATTGACATTGTGTCGTTTGAATCCGAGTACGATTTATGATGCAACTCCGATGTAAATAATATTTGGAGCATAAAGATTAAATCGAGGCAAGACTATTTCCTAAAAGAATTAAAAACTAAAAATAATGTTCGTAAAATTTCCAAACGTTCCTTGCAAGCAAGCTATTTGCATGACAAGGCACTGCAAACTCTATTCGGCCCTATGAAAACCAGGAAACTGATAGGTTACCGTGTTTAAATAAATTTAAATAATAATAATATTCAGGGGAGGTAATAGAGTTTCAAAACTTTACAATTGCTCCAATAAACCAGTTACAATTGCTCCAATAAACCTATTTGAGTGTACTCCTATGTTTATTTTGTATCATCAACACTCTGCACGTTGGAGTGGACTATTGAATTATTTTTATTATGCCGAAT